TTTTTGGGGTGTTGGATGTGGCTGTGACATTGGGGCTGTGTGTTTCAGGCTGTTGCTTCGAAGCTGTGTTTTCGTGTCAGAACGCGTCGAAATCATTCCAAACGTGTGGTGTGGTGCAAATTTTGTTGACGCTGACATCGATATGATGTGGCAGGCACAGTACTTTGTGCGTGTTTTGAGGTGTGGGAGTACAATTAATTGTCGTGGCAGGCGCAGGGGATTGTGAGGTTGCGAGGTGTGGCGGAGGATCGTGGCAGGCGTAGTGCGTGTTACAGGCATCGAGGTGCAAATTTTCGTGGCAGGCGCAGGGAATCGTGAGGTTGCGAGTTGAGGTGGAAGTGAATGTCGCTAAAAAAAATTGGGATCGGCGTGTGGGCGAGGGGCTGGAATCGCGGAACTGCTTGGCAGGACTCCTTGATGTGTGTGCTCCGATGGGGCTTCCCGCTTGACTTTTGGAGGAAGTCTCGTGCGAAATGCTCGTTTTCATGTGACTGTTGGATGAAGTCTCGTGCGAAACGGCGAAACGCTTGTTTTGGAGACTTGACGAGTGACTTGTGGAAGAAGTCTCGAACGAAATGCTCGTGTTGCAGACTTGACATGTGACTTTTGGAGGAAGTCTCGTACGAAACGCACGTTTTGGAGACGTGACGGTTGACTTTTGGACCTGGAGAACTTTAGTAGTGGTGCCCCACACGAGTTTCCCACAAGAGTGTCCTACAAGAGTGTCCCGCAAGAGTGTCCCACAAGAGTGTCCCGCAAGAGTGACCTACAAGTCCTGCAAGAGTGTCCTACCACAAGAGTGTCCGACAAGAGTGTCCTACAAGCGTTTCCTACAAGGGTGTCCCACAAGAGTGTCGTACAAGAGTGTTCAGTCCGTGACCCACAAGACAGTCCTACAAGAGTTACAAGAGTGCCCCACAAGACTTGTTCCACAAGAGTGTCCGACAAGAGTGTCCTACAAGAGTGTCCCACAAGAGTGACGAACAGGAGTATCCTACAAGAGTGTCCCACAAGAATGACGTTAGACTTTAGGGGGTCTGAGGGTGGTGCGTTAAAGTGGTAAGCCACGTTTAATTAGCCTGCTAGTTTTTGACTTTGCCAAGGAGGTGATGTTGGGTGGGTTGGTGATGCAGAAAAAGCAAGGTGAAAGGGTTGGCGTGTATTGAATGATTGGGTGACGTTCTACTCAGACTTACTGGTTCACGGTTTTATGTGGCCTTTGCTGGCGGGTGACGGTGCAGGGGTGGTGGATGAGGAAACTCTTCTTCAAGCTCTACAAACTGGACTCATTGACAAACTAGGTTGGGAGGACCAGATCAAGTAGCAAAAATCATCAGTACGGTTAATCAATTGACGTTCAACAAAGTATTTCTTTTTCGTAGATCTAAAAGAGGACATTCTCGTTCAGGAAGAGGAATTGCTGCACACACGGTGCTGGAGGGCGTTTTGACATGTGATACAAACAAGTCTAGCAGTTGGTTTCTCTGGTTTTCGTTTCCTCATTTTTGGGTTGTTTGTGTGTGTACGTCACAAGATGTTGTTTTTTTGCACCGGTCCTTTTGATGGTCGGTTAAGATTCTTCGACTTGTGACGGGAACCCCAAAGAACATCTCACCTTGGTTAAATTGCTGGATGGTTCTAACAAACCCATTTTGAACCTTGTGCTCAAAAACACATTTTAGAAACAATGGTTCTCACACGCCACAACGGGAACAAAACAAATACTGTACAGGCAAAACTGTCCATTTGCACTATTCGGGGAGCCCCGCTGGAATCCTGAAGACGCAACTCAACAAAGTTCAATCCGCATATTGAAGTACTATGGAGTACTGACCATGCAGCACATTGCCTATAAAAAAGCAGTCGTCACATGACGTTTTTGTCCACGGACCCGGCCGCCGCTTTCGGACAGATGGTTTTCTTCGACACACCAGGTGTGATCTATAGTGGGAAGAGTTTTCTGCTTGTTAACTTGAGTGAGCTTCGTTGACCCTTTGCTGCACAAACCACCTTCGCTGCGTGTGTTTCTGTGTGTGTGTTTGGACCTGTCAACCACCCCATGTCACACGCTTCCTCCTGCGGCTCTTCAGCATTGATGGTTCGGGTTGAGTTTTTGAGGTTTGGACGTGGCTGGGTGCCCTGAACCCTCGCTTCTACCCCATCGAAGCGCAACCCGCCATCCGCCGTGTGGCACGCCCGGCGCCCGGGACGTCTACTGAACGATGTCGGGTGAAAGGGGGTGTGGTGTGTTGGCCACCTCCCACGAAGACCTCACACGGAAGTGGAAGGCCGTCAGCCCCTGGGAGGACGAGGTTGCACAAAGTTCCTTTGCAAGCATGTTGGTGTTGCTCTTCCAGGTTCTTGAGTTTGTATTCCATGGTTGAAGTTTTGCCGGTTTTGAGTGTCAGTTCCTTTAGTGCAGCAGCGAAGATATCAATACCACCGCCAACTAGCGCAACTGGCCCAACTAAACTGTTCAATTTGAGCTTGATGAACATCCCGACTTAGCATAGTTGACTTTCGGACTTGGCTGACGTCGATGAGGGAACAACCAGTTTGGATGAACACCACACCAATGAGACAGATTCACAAAGTCCCCATTCCAGATGGGTAGTTGGTGAACGGTTCCCACGCAATGAGTTTCTCAACCCTGCATCTCAGATCCCACGCGAAGAGACCTGCCTGCAAAAACCTCAAGCCCAGCATCCAGAGCCAAATCCGGCCAAGCGCTGCCCTCCTTGGTGGGCGCAAACCAGAAAGCAGACCTTCCAGCAATTTTCCCAAGCATTGAGCCACAGCATCCTATGCCACAAATTTCAGGAATCTAGATGATTTTTCGTGAAGCGAATCCAGAGGGCCTTTGACCTTCCTTCACCTTCCAGGTCGTTTCGCTACCGGTCCCTGGGGCGCTGGCGTGCGGGAGCCCACTCTTGCGACGTGACCGAGCCCCTAGTAGCTTCTTGTTCCTAGTAGCTACTTGCTCCTAGTAGTACGGCCAGGAGCCCCGTTCGTAGCGTCCTTTGTTCCTAGTAGCGATGCCAGGAGCCCCTATCGCAGCTTCTGTGAAAACGAAAAAAGGAAGTCTCTCGACTCTCTCCGTGCGACGGTTGGACATGGGACAGCAGATGTTTCAAGAGAGTTACATGGATGTTGACGAACTGCCGAAGATTGATGCAGGTTTGGTGGGGAAACACTCTCCAATACTTCGTGGTGGTTTGGATTGGAACCATGCTCCTTTGGCAGGAGGTGGGCTTTGGGAGAGCGCTTAGCCAGGCAGTTGAAATCACTGTCCGACTATCCTATTTAATATATCATGTCTCATCTTCCAGTTGAGTCCAGTTGAATTGTTGCTTCCGCTTGAAGCTTTCTCACTGTGCTTGCTTTTTCAGGCCAACGGTCAGTCACGAAAAAAGGCTTGCGACCCCCAATTTCTTCGTCACGCTGGGAGGAAAGAAATCTGCATCCCAGGTGCTTCTTCCTTTGAATTGTGTTTGTTTGATGTCTTTGGCGCTTCTTCATCTCATACGGATCCAGCTTTGTTTCTCAAACTGCCACAGACCGACAAAACCGACCAGTCTTGCCGGGCTTCTCCGATCGCGACAATTGGACTCTTCAGACCGCCAGGGATGCCCTCAACTGGACTACTACGCCTATGGCGCGCCAGGCCGTGCCAGCTCTTGACATCGCTCGGATCAGACATAGCTCGGATCAGAAGTTCTGTTTTATCGTATGCTTGTACGTATCCATTGCCTCCGCGTGCGTGCCCTGGGCATCTCCCCATGAGTTGGCAATGAACCATCGTATACACACAAGGATGACACGAGACAGCTTTTTGGGGGAGGAGAGAGGATGTTTGCTTGATTAGCGCGTTTGCGCTCTGCGCCATTATTGGGGGGGAATGCCCTCGATTGAAGTAGATGGTGACGGCGACTTGTAACCCAACACTACGAAGGTCGGAGTGCACTGGCGCAGCCAGGTTTGAGGTTTCACCCATTAGCTGCCATCCTTTGCCATCCTTTGCACATCTCATCATGATGCCATCCTTTGCTGTGTTCTTTTGAACATGGTCCCAATATTGGTTTTATGTTGCTAAAACCCGTTCATTTGACTTCATTTGTACGTGCTTTTGGTTTAATCGTGTTGTTTGCATTGTTTTTCCATCAGCAACTGCGTATATAATATAGGCATCTACCAAATGTGGGCACAAATAAGATTCATGGATTTTATTGTATTTTCATGTATTTTATGTGATACTAATTATACCCACAACCAGTCAGCCCACCCCACCGCATCGCCCAGATCAGCCCTGGCCGCCCCTGGGCGGCTTTTGCGAGCAGTATCAGGCGGTGGGGCGGGCGCGGGCGCGGGCGCGGGGGCGCGCCGCCTCATCAAAGAGCCGAGCAAAGGTCACAAGAATACAAATTTGCAATGCATCTCCAACTAACTCCTGAAACAGTGTTTGGGGTGGGTTTGGAATATGCAACTACTTCTTCAGGGCGTACTTGAAACCCTTCAAGAGGAATGAAGCATGTTCATGCATGTTCCAGGATTATTAGGTGTCAATTATATAGTCAATAATGGCTTTGGCAGAATGAACCACGACAAGGATGGCGAACTTGGCGAGCCTCCCCGAACTGCACGGTAGAACCAAGAATGAACTACTTGCCCTTTGGATATGGAAGCCGCCGGTAAAGTCGCAAGCTCACTGCATTGGACCGGAAGAGTTCGTTTGTCCATCCCCAAGTCAGTGACGGGGACTAGTTTGTGATCTTGTAATCTTGGTCAGGTGCTGTCCTGAAAGTCGCGGCCCAAACTCAAAGACATTGGAAATAGAAGACCAAACCCATTGAATAGCTTGCTACCGGCACCCCTTCTCGTCGAGAACCACACTGCGGGCAGGAGAAGCTTTGCCTCGAAAATCATCAGCATTGATAGGTTTTAAAAACACCTTTTAGTGGTAGGGTAGGGGAGTGAGTCATACCCAACATTACCCGCCGATGACCGGAAAGCAATCAAAAACACAAATGCGACATGGCATATGGCTGAGCTGCGTTTCGGGCCGCCCATGTGTGCAGTCTATCAGTGAGGCGCTGGGATATGGTGATGGTGGATTTGCTGGGTGCTGTCATATCTGACTTAATTAAAGACGATATAATATGCCAATATCCAATAATATCCCATAGGTAGTTATTTCACACTAAGGGAATGTTGATTTTTGTGCATAATTAGTTGCTATTTCTCTCCAGGCATAGTAAGAAATGGATGTTTGATGATGTTTGTTATTTGGTGGTTTAACCCATGTCGCTCTCTGTCACAACCAAGACTTGGAGGACCACTGCACTCGAAGAGCCGCACTCGAAAACTCGAAGAGCACTCACTGGTTTGACACAGACCCACATCATACGCAGACCTGTTGCGCTGTGCTTTAGCAAAAAGTCCAATTGGGAGCCGATTGAGCGATGAGGTCCATGATCAGCAATGGCCATGATTATTGATGAGGAACAAACATATGCACTATTTGATCCATAGCGGAACAAAATCCTCATATTTCAAGCAGCATGTTTGTCCTCATATTTAAAACAAAAAACACCATACATTTCAATCCAGACGACCACCGCTTCCAAAGCTCGGAACGAGGCTGATTGCCTGAACTCAGTTGTTGCATCCTGTCGTGTGCAAACACACCAGCAACACAGCCACCAACCATTGCTGCCACAACTGCAACCTCGAGCAGGCCCGTTTGGCAGTGGGAAAGGGCCCCAATGCTGGCTGCAGATGAGGACAGGAGTTGGTTCTTGAAACCATTCACGAAACCGTGAAGAAGCCTCCAAGATCCACAGCTAAAAGGGACGAGCTCTTGGAGGAGAAACAAGCTCCTTCAATAAAGTGTGAAGTGTCTCCGGATCCTTCGCATCAGTTTGTGAAGCAGTGACTAATTCGTGTGAATTCATTTGTTGGCAAATACTGAAAACTCGGAAGCTCGGCTCTTGCAGCTGCATTTGTGGAGCATTCTTCCAACATATAGGGGATTCTCAAGGATTCAGGGATTGAATCAGTGAACGCAGACCTGGTTTCAGCGGCCTGCCTTACACTTCCCTCCAACCCTTTTTGTTTTGTTTTGGTGTGAATACAGGCAGTATATGAAACATGTTGATTGTGCAATTAATTGGCGGATTAGTCGTCATGAGCGAGGAAGCCTGTGGTGTGAAAGGGTCAGGACCCCACTCATGAACAAGTCCGAGACAAAGAGTGTTCTTGAAGGTTCTTGATTTGGGATTCTGGATTATTTTGCATTATGTTGCTGTGTTTTTGTTTAATGCATATCCTGATTTGGCCGGGCGGAGCCTCGGCTGTGCACGCCGAATTTGCTCGCCTGTGCATGCGCTTTGCTCGGTTACCGAGGCTCGGTTGTGCACGCGCTCCCTCGGTTGTGCACGCCGCTTTGCTCGGCTGAACGGATGAATTAAAGAGTGAAATAATGAATGAATGATTGAATGAATGAACGAATAAACGAATGAATGGATGAATGAATGAATGAAATGAATGAAATGAATGAACGAATAAATGAAATGAATGAAGTGAAAGAAATGAACTGAACTGAGCTGAACTGAATGAATGAATGAATGAAGGATGCAGAGCATCATGGTACTGTGGAAGCAATTAGCAAATAAAGATCATGTAGATGAATGTCCAGAGGGACGTTCTTAACACCCCTCCACCCCCCACCTCCCCACCCCCCCATCCTCCCATCCCAACCCAACATCATCAATCTGTGTGACATGGTGCTGTGGAAGCAATTAGCCAAAAGAAATCATCATGTAGATGAATGTCCAGAGGGACGTTATTGACACGAGCATGTCTGTGGAGACCTGACCCAACGACATATCATGAAAGAATGACATATCGTGCACACATCACATCAACTCAATTTGTGTGTGTGCAGGTGAGCGAAATCTGTGTGCGCGGCTGAGTTTGACGTAACATGCACTGTTTAAAGAAGAATGTAATCGATGTGGGCGCAGCTGAGCGAACACTGTGTGCGCAGCTGAGCGAATCCTGCGTGCGCAAGTGAGGCGCCGTCCATTTGGGGCGAATGTCGTTTCTTCTCAACCGGTGCCAAGTCAGTTGACAGACTCTTGATATATTCGTTGGATCGCTAGCCAGCTGGTTTGTGAAGGCTCCACATGAGGATTCACACCAAATTCACCAAACTTAGACCTGCTTGGCTGCTTGACCAGAAGAACTGACTGTTCTTGTCGTTTCCGGACGTGTTTTTTCCGGAAGGCGGTTCACCATGGTTCACCGCAGTGTTCACCGGGATGCCAGGAGGTGTCCAACCCTCCCAATGGCCGGAGGTCGAGACTGGTCAGCAGGTGGACGATGGAGGATCATTAAAATAGAAATGATCCATTACATAGAAAATGGAAGCAAAATCCATGTTGAGGATGGAAGCAACATTCCAAAAATAGTGACCTGTCCAAGACCACCTGTTCAATTACGCACAAGAAAACCGGTCCGTTTCACACATGTTGTGCATGACAGTGGTGCAAAGAGTGCGGGAACTGCTACATTTGCCACGACTGCTACCGAGTACAGAAGCATACTGGCTTTTCGTGGGGTGAATGTTTTGTACGTGTTCCTTGTATCGACTGTATCGGCAAGATTGGACCTCAAGAGGGCACAGGAACCATCTAATTTTCATCCTAAGGAGAACACATCTCGCACCGAAACACATTTATTTTCCATGTTCTTGTTCTTTTCAGAGATTCCAAGTGTGGAACAGCGTGGGCCACGAGCGTCCGAGGTGGGTCACACCGCTTATGGGCACGCTGCTGGTGCACGCGTTGTGCGCCGTGCCGTTGCCTCGCGCTTGGGTGCCGGGCACACCGAGGCACCGGGCCATGGGAGCGACGGGCAGACGGGCAGGACGTTTCCGGCAGAGATGGGTCAGACTGAGAGCGGAATGAAGGGGTACAGGTAGAAATCATGGTAAAAAATGTAGAAACATGTCGAAACCATAGGAAACCAGAGGAATCAACATGAACGCACCACTATTGGCCTTGAGCCGGTTGTACCCTACAGATCTGCACGGCACCGCTCAAAGACTCATTCTGCTAGTCCCAACAAAAAATCGATGGTTCTTTAAGCAACCATGTTGTGCATAACCCCCCCCATGTGATTTCTATATTTTGTGCGTGGTGAAAAGGGTTTGCAGAGCGCTTCTCAGGCACGTTTGAGAGAACTCCTTCAGCAAACTGAACTCCTAACAAAAACACAAACATCGTCAACCGTCTCGTCCACCTATCGGCGTCCTGGACGCCGTTCGTTGGGGAGCGCCACTCGAGGCCCGGACGCCCCAGAGTGCCACGAGAAGTGCAGCGCGTGCCTTTGCGCGTGACGCTGCGGGAGGTCACACATGTGCCCAGCAGGCCGCTGAAGACACGGGTGAAGCAGACCATCTCCGCAGGTAGAAGGCCGCCTGACCATCTCATGGGGGGGATGTGGTCAGTGTGGTAGAAGGGGTGCATTCGAGTTTTGGACCCAGGTGGTGGGGTTCAAATGCATTCATGCATCATGAAGGGTCCATGGAGTCATGGACGGTCCATGCAATTCGATGTGAATCTGCTTTGGACGAGTGCAAAAACCTTCAGTGGATTGCGACAAGCATCCATCAGCTGTATATATGTTATATTTAAGTTCCTTTGTTCAAGGTACATGTCCACCTACCACGTGAAGGTGAATTCAAGTCGTACCGAATCTCCGAGAATCTCCTCCTTTTTCTTTGATTGGCCGGTTTTTGGTCGGTCAAAAACCTGGATCCTTTCAGGTCAGCGAATCGGAGCCAAATATGTGAAGTGGATTGAGAGTAGATGGCACATGGACCCCCATCTAAAGGACATTTTGGGGGGCCAGTGCCATCTACTCTGAAACCACTGTAACTAAATTGCTCCAGCGTTCGCAGTGAGGCTCAAGAAGATTGAGAACTTGATGGATGCGGAGCTGGCGCGTTGAAACCTAGTTACCTAGTTGGGTAGGCACAGAGCAGACAGACGCAAGCTTTGGGGAGTCCCTGATATGTTTTATATGAAGCTGGAAGCAAGTACTTTTGGTTTATTTGTTCTGTCCTTGTGGCTCAGTGAACACTCTAGTCAAAAAGAAAGAAGAGCGGAACGGGCGCAGATTGCCAGAGGGAAGCGGCAAGGATGTTGCGGGTCTATGTTTTGCTTGCAAGTCTCTCCAACAAAGGCAGGTGCACGGGTTTGAGACTCTAATCATTATGGCACCTTTTATCACCAGGAAAGACCTTTCCAGGTATGTGTTCCTTGACTGATTGGTGCTCTCAATGTTTTTCACCTCAACCGGAGGCCTTTTGTGACCTGAGGTCAAAACGGGTGTGATGTTCCGAACGAAGGGACGCTGCACGTGACGGATCGCACCGGTCATTCCTCACCTGTCTCCAGCGCACGTGTTCGGTTCGCGTCAGATGGCCGAAAGCATGTTGGAAGTGAAGATTGAAGAGGCGAGGTCTGGAGGACCTGACATGGCCTAGTAGGAGAAATGGCGAAAAGCGGGGGCGAGCACGGTGAGTTCTAGGCCTCTAGGCCCAATTCAGGTTCCACTGCAATAAAGATCAATAAAGTACATTGTGTTTTTTTTTTAAATATATTCCGAGAGAGCAAAAGTGTTTGTTATAAATATTTATAAATACTGTATATTATATATTATATTCTGTTGTTTATGTTTGTTAGTTATTGTTTGTTTGTTTTTCGAACTCGTGTTCTTTTTATTGTTATTGTTGTGTTGGTGGTGTTGGGTTGGTTCTTGTTGTTGGCTCCGGCAACGTGGCACTTGTTTGGATGATGGAGGTGGTGGGTGGGCGTGGGGGTAGTAAGACTTCGAGGTTTTGCGCTTTGGATCGATCTCTTTGGTGCATCGCGTCGTTATTGTGGCAGTTTTTCCTGCTTAGAACAGACGTGGCAATGACCTTGCAGGACACTTGTGCCACTTGTGTTGTTTTATTGTAACTTTGAATCAGTGGGATAGGCTGCCCCCGCTCACTTGTTGGAACATGTTGGAACGCATGCCGCAGAACTCTGTGTTCAGTAAGCCCTTTCACCTTGGACCAATACATTTACCGTAAGTCAGAGCGATCGATTTCGTTGCACGTGTTGTTATGAGACCGCTCTTTTGTGAATTGGTCCAGGGTCCCTCATTTTGGAGAACAACTGTTCGAGCTTTGGTGGCGACCCGATTGGTCAAGACATAACACTGCAGTGATAACACTGCAGTGTTAGCAAAGGATGCTCCCCATCCGCTCTGACCTTGCCTGAACAAGCCTGACCATTCTAAACTATTGGCCAAGAGACTGTTTATACTCGAGGGCTAATGATTGACTCGAGTTCCAAAGGTCCTTGTTGGTCTGGTTGGTTTTCTTATTGTTGTTGTTGTTGTTGTTGTTGTTGTTCTCGTTTGATCTTCATACATAGGACATTGTACAAACACCTCGGAGCAAAGGACACTACTATATAATTACTAGCATTATCTAGCATTGGTCCCTGTAGAGCCAGTATTGCTTTTCTTGCTCTCAGCATTTGAAGTGTGGGTGAGAGGCGGGTAGCTTGAAAGTCTTTTTAATTCAATCAGCTGGCTTCGGTGTTAGTGCCGCCTGTCAATTGAAGAGACTCTGACAAAAACCCTGTTGCTGTGTTCAATCACCCCCATCACCCTCCCCACCCATCAGACTATTCCTCGCCTAGTATTGTTAAAAGCTGCAACCGCTATTAGACTGACTATTACTGTTCGTCATATCATACTGCTACTAGTGCCGGTACTGGCACTGGCACTACTACTGAAACTGCTACTACTACCGGTACCACTATGACTGTTCTGAATTCTTGTAATCTCCACTGTTTCGACTAGTATGTCCACGACTGATCACAAAAAGTCAAATGTGCTTTTCCTATTGCCACTAGCAGCACCTGTACCGGCACTCCAACTTCAGCACCGCTGCTTGGAAAGTCCGCGTGGCCAGGACACTATATTCAACGAAGCTACCAACCACTAAACCATGAGTGTGTTTGTGCACACCTTGGATTAAGAGCCAGCAGCTACAGTTGCAGTAGCAAAGTTTCTTGATTCCCTTGGATTTAGCTGGGGCACTGATTCTGGAGTGTGTAGTGCCCAAAGAAGATCGCCCTCTCAGAACGGGGTGCCTTAGTAGCGTTTTTGTTCTCAGTGAATGTTGAAGAAACCTGTCAGCCTACTTCCGTTGATTCACGCCCGTTCTACTGCTATTCTCCACCGGCCTCCTTTGTTTTCAACAGACGTTGTCAAACAACCTATATATAATATATATATATATATATTGGTTTGAACTCCCAACATCCCCCAAAAAGATTATCTTACAAAGTTCTCAACAGGTTGTTTATCAAAGCCTTTTCCACGGGTGGGTACTTGCTGTGTTTGAATGTCCTTGTCTTGTCCACCACAAGTAGCCCAACACTTGAGAAAAGAGTGCGTGCGATCAGTCAGCCAATGCCCAAACGAATCCCTGGTATGAAAAACTTGGACAATGGGGTCCAACCATCAAAGTTTCACTGGTCATGATCTCCAAATACAAATACCCAAGGGCTTCACCTTAACAATCTAGTAACGTTCGAGTCCCTGAATGCGTGGCTGGCGACATATACTTCGACCTAACCATCCTTTTGTTGTTGCTGTTGTTGGCCGAAACAAAGCAGCTGCCCAACATAAGTGTCGCATGTTGTAAATCTAGATTTTCAAGGGCGGGAATTGCTCTGGGGGGTTGTCACAAAAGGGGATGCGGTCTGTGTTGTAAAGGGGGCTAGGGGCAACACATCTTCGCTCAAAAAAAGCGGGGCTTCAATGTGTGTCTTCGTCGTCTTCGTCGCCGTAGTAGTTGCAGGTAGTAGTCGTCATCGTCGGGAGGAGTACCAATTGAAGTAGTAGCAGAAGTGTTGGGCGACTCCTCACCAGGAGCAGAGCTCCCAAAGAAGCGGAAGCGGCGGCCGAAGTTCACGTGTCTCGGCAGAGCGGCTCCCGCAGAGAAATCGACCAGGAGAGGGGAGAAGGAAAATGAGTGAAATAGGTATATGTTTCATTTGAGGAACTTTTATCGCAGCTGCTAACCGGGTTCTACGTTGGGATATGTTGGACTGTGTTTACACAGTCATCGTGGGACAACATGGCCGGCTAAAACATGATAAAGCAGGCAATTGACTGACGCGACCAACATGGAATGACGGAACACAAACGAAACCCCTGAAGCCCCCCTTGATATGTTCAGGAAAGTGGGCTGGTATTTTGCCCCGTTTCTGGACGCGAACCTCAGTTTCACCACCTTTTTCCCTACGGACAACTCCTTGCGTTTCGCACATCCTGCACCACCTGGAAAAATAAAAGCAGAGCATCAACTGATGCAAACGGTGGGATGATCTCATCTCAGTGGTGCAAAAGCTCCTTCATCGACAGCAGTAGCACCAGCCCAGGGATCGTATCAGTAAAGTTTGCCGAGATGATTTGCCTTTGCAAAGGACATCTCATAGCCCAACTCATGTGACTGAACGACTCGTCGTCCCAACGTGAGGCACAGCGCCCACCAGGGGCAGGGGGTAGGCCGCGAGGAGGTAGGTTGGCTAGGGAGTCGGTAGCTAGTAGAAGCTAGGGAGTCGCCAGTAGCTTAAGTATAGCTACTAGCATGGACGCAGGATAACTCACGCTTCTTCGCAGAAGCGCTCGCATAAATCAATTGCTTCCTAAATGAACATGTGAAGCCTTGTTCGGGCATCGCCACTAGGAGCAAGGACGCTACTAGGGGCTCCTGGCCTTACTACTAGTAACAAGGACGGAAGGCTTCAGGTTCCACAAGCCCCGAGCCCGCCACAGAACCGCTTCGCTGGTTCTTTTTGCAACGCTCGAACGTGTGGCGTCGAAGCGCCAAGGAAGTGGGCTCAGAAGACACCCAGTGATGAGTATGAAGGCCACACATCGGTGCGAAGCAAGGAGCGTCGAGCAACCGACCTTCCCAATCCAATTTAACTCAGAGTCCGCCAGCAACATCCACAAATGTATACATAGTATCATAATATTTTTTCAGACAAAATTTTTTATTTATTGCTGTTTGCCAGCCCTCGATGTTTTGAAAGCTTGTGTTATGCATTTTTGGTTGCATTGTACAAACATCAAGTATAGTGAGAAGATCATTTTTTGGCAATTACCTTCTATATACATCCTTCTACATCAGTCAGTACCATATCTTTGCCTGCAATAAAGACTGAGAAACGAAGAACAAAACGACCCAGGACGCATGCTGACTTTGCTTTTCGCCGTGGCCACTGGTTCAACACCAGGGCCCTTGAGCCACCCTTTTGTGGAGAAAAGACGCTCTCCGTCCGCTGTTTCTCAGTGGTAGCGGAGCTCTCTGGCGACGGCCAGGGGGCTCCGGGCGCAGGACTTCTTCAAGGCGGGGGACGCCCCGACCCTTTCTTCGCGACCTCGAGCTCTTTGTCCTTGAGACAGTAGAGGGTGACTTGCGCCCGGCAGTTGGCCTTTGGCTGAGCCCACAGTTTTTCGTCACTTTGACCTTGTTTTCTTCATTTACCAGCTCACTGGACTTCATTTGGTCGTGAGCACATGAGCACCAGACCCCAAAGGACATGGCGAGGCGGCAATGGCACGAACTCTTCAACTCCACCGGCGGCATCACCCGCCGGCAGTGCTACGCCTGTAAGGCCTATGACCCCACTACAGCCTGATGCTCAACGACCTTCTGCAGAATCACGACTGCCCGATCAAGATCGCCTTGAATTACAAGATCCCTGGGCTGGAGCGACACGCTCAATGGCAATGCCTGAGGAACCACCTCCGAGATCACCAACGGCTCGGGACTCAGGCAAGAAATATGTTGACTACAAGCTTGACCCAGCACCCTCATGGGATGGCTCTCAACCGGAAAAGCAATTCAAGGAGTTTCATCGCAACTTGTTGCTGTGGTTGGTGGAGGCTGAAGCAAGGCTTCCACACAATTTGATCGGGAAAAGAATCATCGACAGCATCCCCATTGGCAGCAAGCTCGGCGCCATGCTTGCCCACTTGACGGTCGATGAGATCACTGCAGAGAATGGCCACAAGCAGATCCTGAGACTCATTGAAGAAGCTCATGAGTACTTGAAGGATCAACGACTAGAGCAAGCCTTCGATGAGGCCATCTTCCGTGGCCGCCGCGAACGCGGCATGACTTTGACCGCTTTCTTGACCGGCAAGAAGGCAGCATTTGCAGAGCTTCGCAAACAAGGACTTGACCTGCTCGCAAGTTCACCAGGTCGACACCTTCTTGGACACCTGATCCTGAGGCAGGGCGCTTTCTCTCAGGATCAGAGGCAAAGATTGAAGGTGGTGACCAATGGCTCGATCGACTTCAGAGAGATCGAGTCAGCAATCCAGAAAGTGTTTGGCGACAAGCTGGATGAGTCAGCGCACTATGACCAGCACGCTGGAACACCCCGCCGATGGAGGAGCAACACCTTCTACGGCGATGATGCCGATGAAAACTATGAGGATGACCTCATGGATGATGATGGCAGCGGCATCTATGCCTCCGAATGGCCGGAGGATGAAGGTTTGGAAGATTTGATTTGCCTCAACGACAACTATGAGGCCCAGTTGATCTTTGCCCAAGACCTGCCAGGTGTGATGGAGGAATCTGAAGCTCTGGAAGCTTTGGGTTGGCAGCTCGAAGAAGTCTTCTATGAGACCCAGCACCGCTTTGGAGGCAAGGGCAAAGGCAAGGGCAAGAGAGGAAAAGGCAAAAGCCACCGCACCTTCGCAGGTGGCTCACCTCACCATGGAGGAAAAGGAGGCGGGTACCTCGAGCACCGCCGAAGGTTGCAAGCAGCAAGAAATGGCAGAGGCTTCGACAAGCCATGGCAGCGGCAAGGTTCAAGACTCTCAATCAATGAATTGAAAGCAAAAAGCCGTTGTCACCAGTGTAAACAACTGGGGCACTGGTCCAAGGAGTGCCCACATCGAGGCAAGATGCCTTCTTCACCTTCCCGGAGTGCCTCAAGTGTAGCTTCGACCACTGGAGCGATGACCACTGGCTTTTTCACTCAACCGCCGAAGGCGGCGGGATTTGGACAGTTCATGACCACAACCGTGGATCCACCAACGTTTGAGCAATACATGAGCACGTCGCTTTCCGGACTGTCGTTCGTGTTTTTGGGCATGCACACCTCGGATGGCACAGCGTTAGTTGATACTGCAGCACAACATGGACTCGTCGGCATGAACACCCTCACCAACCATGACCAGTTGTTGAAGAACAAGTTCGGGTTGCAGGTTCAGTGGTCAGAGGAGTCCGGCGGTTCCGTGCGAGGAATATGTGGCCAAGAAGAGAAGACACAGATAGCCTATGTCCCCATTGGCCTCGCAGGGAAATCCGGAGTCCTCAGGGTGCAAATCGTGCCGGGTGACATACCGTTCCTTTTGCCAGCTTATTTTCTTTCAGAGTTGGGAGCTGTCATTGATATGGGGCATTGCACCATCATGTACATGACCATTGGTGTGAAACAAAACATGAAGAAGATGCACACCGGTCATGTCGCCGTCTCGATCGTTGAGTTTGGCAGCGGCTTCAATGCACCACATGCCACTTTGATCACCCGCAGTACTGCCTGGTCAAGAGAACCTGTGCCGTGGTCAGCATCCGATCCACCTCATGCGCACGGCCGTACAGCGCCAGCCATGGGGCCGGTGGCGACGCTTGTTGCTGCGGCTCTTTGTCTCCAATTTCCTGCGATCAGCGCAGGAGCTCATGGAGTCCACCCGGATGCCTCAGCTGCGGGATGCACGCCGCTTGCAGCATCGACGAGAGCGGCTGGAGAAGGAGGCCCTACGTTTGGCAGTGCAGGAGCAGCTGGTGATCAGAGAGGCAGCATCTTCGTCAGCACCACCCCAGGCAGATCTGACGACTGCCAGGGAGGAAGACCGTGTCCGACCTCGAGCCTGTGTGAAGGGACACGGCAAATACCTGATCCCGTGCCTCGAGAAGAGCATCCACTGCTCCCATGCCGAGACCTCCCATGGAGCAAACAAGTATGGCACCTTCCACAAGTGTGCACAATGCCAGCAGATTCAGAGAATGCCACTTACGTCAGTGACGGAGCTCCATGTGTGGAACCAGACGCTGGTCTTCATCCCGGACGCCTTCTACGACAAGAAGAACACCAACAAGGCGACCAAGGAGAAGAAGAATCCAGAGGAGGAGTCACCGAGCAGTCCTCCAAAGAGATCAACGGCCTACAAGAGCAGGGCCAAGCCAGTTCCACTGCCTCGGACTCCCCAGGATCAAGTCAAAGACGAGCTGGACGAAGTGGACGAACAACAGACTTCATGGCACGATGTCATGGCCAGCGAGATCCTCAGCCTGAACACATCAGCTCAGAGCTTCAACATTGGGGAGGATGTCTGGATGCAGGGTGTGCCACGCCAAGCTCATCAGCAAGATTGCCACCTATGCCCAGCTGGCGAGCAAGGAATGCTGACACTGCATCGCCACATGCCGACCCAGAAGCTCATCTGGAAGTGCGACAATCCGGCATGTCGAATGAACTGGAGCGCCATTGCCAACCAGGTGGAACCAGCTCATGGCACCTACCTGTGCTTCCGCTGCAACCGCCAGGAGATGCTGGTGATCAATGGAGATCCGGATCCTCAGAGTGCGGAACTCCAGTGCACCTGGGAGCCATGCAGCCAGCAGGCCTTCATGTTCGAGATGGACTTGGCCTACAAGAAGATGGGACCGTTCAGCATCGAGAAATTGCAGAACTGAACGGATGGCTGCACAGCCTTCAACGACAAGAACTACTACCAGAAACCTTCATGGACCTCATGGAGACCCTGGAGTTGGACGTGGCGTCAACTTATGTAACCACCGGATGTGGTGAATGTGTGAAAGGAGTTACACCGGTTTCAACATGGCCCACTATTAGCCGACGGGTGATCCTCACCCACAACGGTGAAGCTTGGAACGCGGTTAGCGTTTCCTCGGTGCCAGGTGACAACTACTTTCTTGGCGGCAACGTCTACTACTTGGTCCTCTATGAGTTCATGTCTGACTCCCTCGATTACCTGGTCACAGCTGAGTGCGATATGGAGGTCACTCTGACCAAACCTATGAAGGCCGAGATCAACCAAGGCCTAGATGACCTGCTCGGAGATCAGACGGTGTACTGGAATCTATGGGCTGAAGAAGAGACCACCGATGACGTGGCAGAGATCTATGGCAGCCTCCAGGACACCAATGACGCCATTGTCGAGCTCTACAGTCCACCACGGGTCGTGGAGGAAGCTCGCAGAAGAGGACTCAGAGCAGAGCTTTCGGTCGACCTTTGCACTGGCTATGACCTCAAAGACTCCGAGACAAAGGAGCATGTGAGAAAGGAATTGTCAAGACGCAAGCCGAAGCTCCTGGTTTCTTCACCTCCGTGCACCAAGTTTTCACCCTTCCAGAACCTCAGGAAGAACTGGGAGGATTTTGAAGGAGAATGGGAAGAAGCTGTGTCACACGTTGACTTCTCAATGGTCTGTCTGGAAGACCAACGGAATCGAGGAGACCATGGACTACATGAGCATCCAGACACGGCTACATCATGGAGTTTGCCCTCGGTGAGGAACTACCTCAGCCACGACGAGATCATCTTGGTCAAAGGCCATCAACATCGATTTGGACTACGAGCAGAAGATGGTCTGAATCGGAAGTCGACTCTCTTTGCGACTTCCTGCGACGCCATCGCAGTGAATCTCCAGCGACTATGCCAATGTGAAGAACCTCATCAGCAGCTGGTCAACGGCCTTCCAAAGCTCGCTGAACGATATCCACCAAAGCTGGTTCAGGCCATAGTCGATGGACTCATTCAAGATTGGGCTGACTCACAACATGGCCGACCTCAACGACTACCAGATCGTGGTGACATGGAGCAA